TTCGTTATCATGTGGGTATGTCACACTCTCTTCCCTACTCATTAAGGAGCATCCAAGTTCTCATCTTTGCCCAATGTGCCTACATGTGTACTCCGCTTTTGATAGCATTGTCAAGTTCTTAGAAATATTTAATTAGTTAAGTTTCCATTTAGTTTAAAATTGATTTTGAGTCGTTAAATATGATTCAGATGCTTATATAAATTAATATAAATCACACTATTTTATTTGAAATAGAAGTGATAAATAAACTTTCTTTCAGTGATCTCTACCTTGAAGGAATTAGTGATCACTATATTTCAAAAGAAATAACATTTACGTTGTTAGCAGAAAGTACCCTTAACATACACATACCCCAAAAAAAATATTTCTAGAATAAAGATAACATATTACACCAAACATCATGAGTAATATAGCACCTAAAAATAGTTTTTTCCAGAAACAAATTCTCATTCAAAGAAGTGTAAATTACCAAATTATACATAGAGGGTGAAGAAAAATGAGGTGATTGAATGGTTAGGATAGTTGAGAAAATGGTGGCCCATGAGTTCAAATCAAAGTGGTCTTATTCAAAGAGGTCCACGAACAGGTAGACTGGGCTCTAGCACATTGTAACAGTTCACATATCCTTATTATGGCATCTGACATATCTACCTACTAGTCCCTTTCAACTATACAAGCTTCAGAAAGTTGGAATTAAGACCCTCTCAAAATGACAATTGTGCTTGAAAGATCACAGCTATTAGTGTGAGGGAAGCATAGCAAGTGCTTCTATGGGCCTACTTGCCTCTTTCAACCACTGCACCGTTTAGTGAAACCAAATGCCACAAGTCTAGAGAAAGGTTCTGAATCAACAAAGGAAGCACTCAATTAATTAATATTCGTAAGCCAGCATGTGTTTAGTGTCACAATACAAATGTAATGTCACTTCCACAACTGGCAGTTTTGTTCCTGTGCTCCCAATCAATGATCCAGTGGTTGCTTATTAAAAGGTGCCACCATCACTGTTCTTCCTTAACCAGCTCTCCCCCATTACACAACACCCTTGTAAATTACCAACCAATAATTATTTGATACAACACAGTAAGAGAATATACAAAGTAATTAATCATTTTTTGCTCTTGCTAATTAACCAGTGTCTTAAGAGCACTGGTTAAAGAATCAATTAAAAATTATAGTAGAGTATATTAGTAGATGTCTTTTAGGGGGCAAATGCAGAGTGGTAAGTATTTATTGAGAAGTTAACATTCAAATTGTGATAAAATATATTTGTATATATAATACATTATTAAGCTATATAAAAAATTTTAACCAACTGTTATACACCCTGTCTTTAAAAAAATTAAATCCAAAAATTGAACTTCCTTTTTTTTTAAGGGAGATAAATATATAAGTTCTTTGTAAATATTTTTTTCAATGACTTTCTATCCCTGAAAATGGAATATCATCTCCTCCCCTAAAAATTAATCACCAAAAGAAAATCGATGAATTGATAATGGATGTCTTTTGGGGATCAAAATGTTAGCTAAGTCTCAATGCATTTCTAATTGTACTTTGTAAATTATAATATTATATTGGGCATATATAGGCGTACGTGCAACGCTTCCATGTTTGAGTAACCCAAACATAAAAGTGCTGCAAAAGAATAAGGTAACTGTTCCTCAACAGACAACAGCCCATGAGGGAGAAAATGATGGTCTATTATTATTCAGTACAATAACCCTATTTTCAAAAGCTAAACTAAGCCATTTTTGTGAGCAAAAATAAAGGTTAAAAAGCTCAATTTATTATTCAATTTCATGTGTTCTTTTTAGAGTTTTTTAAAAAAAATCTAGAAACAAGTATTTTTACAGGAAGTGACCCTATTTGAACAAAAAAGTATTTATAGTATAATAAGACCAATTGGCTCTCTTAATAAAAAAAGCATACACAAAAGTTGAAAAAGCTAACAAAACTCAATTTATTATTCAATTTTATTAGTATTTTTTAGAGCTTTTTTTAATCTAGAAACAAGTTTTTTTTTGTTAGATATAGGAAGTAACCCTATTGAACAAAAAATATTTACAGTATAATAAGACTAATTAAGTCTCTTAATAATAAAAAAATCATACACAAAAATTGAACCTAAAATTTCTTAAAGAGAATTAAATACACATTATTTAAATCAATCACTCATTAGTTATTACTTGAAAGTTTGAAAACTCTAGCTTGTGGCTCAATGAAAAATGATCTGAAATTGTCTATGGCAAGAATTCTGAACACATTTAACAGAAGTCTTTTTTTTTTTTTTTTCCTTTTCAACTAACTAGCAATGAAAATTAGATGGAACAAGCAAAAAATATATTTTTTTCAAACTTATTTAAAAAATGGAAAAAAGAAAAGAAAAGGGTAGAAAGGAATAGAAGAAAAATCCAGCCCAAATCCTTATGATTGCAATTATATATGAAGAACGGCCCAAAATAATGAAATAACATCTTAACATCCAGTTTTCCACTAACACCGCGATGGTTTACTCAACTGTTTATTATCATAATTTCATTTTTAATTAATGCAGATAGATTAGAAAAATATCTTCTCTTTTTTAAATTAGAGTTTTAAATCTTAAATTTAAATATTTTTAAAATTGACTTAAATAATCATAATTTTAGATATTATCATCTTTCTTAATAATATATTGTGTGACTTCTTTGTCTTGAGACTTCAATTTTTAATTTAAGTTAAATTTCATATTTTTTTATAATTTATTTTTAAATTTTAATAATTTTATCTATTTAACTTAAGTTTCTTAATATAAAAAACATATATTATTAACAGAGAAAATATGTAAATTTATTAGTTTTTCATATTTTGTTACGTAGGATGGTTTGTTTTTAACATGATTTTTTGATTTGGTCTTACTTAATATAATAAAATATTTATAATAATAATAATAATAATAATATTTATTTTAAAATTTAAAAATATTATTGAATTTTAAAAAATAATGTGATATATTTTCATTTTTATTAAAATATTATTTGAATTTAATAATATATGAATAGTGTAAAAAACTGACAAATAATAAATTCTAAATGCATATATTACATATATAAATGCATTATAAATTATTAAAATTTACAATAAAAATAATATTTATATAAATTATTTATATATAATCTGTCATGAAAAATTGTTATACAATTATCTATGGAAAAGAATATTTCTATTTCCGTTCTTGTTTTAAAATACTAGTATTTACATTATTATTATTATTATTATTATTATTATTATTATTATTATTATTAACTTAACCAAATTATGAATTTAAGAATTATTTATAATTACATGTTTAAAATATAATAAAATTATAAACAAGTAAATGATAAAATTTAAATTTAAATTAAAGATTCAAAATTTAAAAACATAAATTAAAGTTTATTAAAAGTCTTACGTTCATGCAGTTAAATTTAAACGAGCACTGTTAATTTTATTTTTTTATTACTGGATTTAGTGTTATTTTTTATATATAATATTTAAAAATTATATATATCAAAATATGATTTTTTTTTAAAATCACAAAAATATAAAGCTTAAAAATTATCAACGAAAATTTTTAGTGTAAATTCAAAAGTTTTGAAATAAAAAATTAAAAAATGATGAATTTAAAAAAAATACTAATTGACGATTTTAAAATAATTAAAATTTTCATGCCTAGCGAAAAAAATTAAAAATAGTCAAAAATCATTATTGGTAATTTTAAAAAAAGTTAAAAGTCACTATTGACGATTTAAAAAAATATATGTTTATGCAATTTTGTTAAAAATTTCATATTTTAGTAATTTTGAAAAAAAATTATATTAAAAAAAACCCCTTATTTAACCTACTATGATATTTTAAATATCAAAATGCCTTATTCGCCTGATTATTTATAAATTTAATTTATCCGTGTGATTTATAAATTTTATTTAATAACAAATATTAGTGTTATAATTTTATAATATATATATATATATAATAATAATTTACTATTAGTAAGTGGTTATTTTAATTTAGTTTTGAATTCAAGACTAGTTAAATGTAATTATTTTAAATTTTTAAAAAGATAAACTTTTTATTTTTATTTAATGTTTAAAAAATTATATTGTGTTATGTATTTTTACATGTAAAGATTTTTAAAGTATATACCTTTCATTCAGCTGTAATTAATATAATCATCGTAAAAAAGTCAATTTAGCTTATTTCTATCAGTGAATTTACGTGTCATGTTACATGATTGAGGTATAATGTCTGCATGATCTATATATAGAACATTGATATTTAACATTTGACTTGGTAAAATAAAGTTTCAACATTCTTTATTATCTTCTACTTTCTTTTCACAGTCTCCAACACTTCTTATGTCATTCAAATATAGTTTTCGTATATTTTCATTTGCATATTTACTTTTGTTTTTGCACTCTTTTTGATAAAACTTTTTTTTTTTAATTACACTCATAATATGATTAGATTTAACAATTATTATTTTCTACTTTACAAATAATTTAAAAAATATTACAAAAAGAACAAGACTTATATAAATATATTTTTTTTATTGATGATTGAGATTGCTTTAGAATCTAATTTTCTGTAATCAATATTTTATTCATATTAACACTGTCTTGTTATTGATTCTCCATTTTCGATTAATTTTAAAATAGACAAGTATTCATTTAAATAAGTTAATCTTTATCCTTTATTTCAACTAACACTTCTGTTAATCTTATCTTAAATTCTAATCTAATAACCCTCTTATAAATTTTTTTTTAATATAATAAAATATTTATCATCATTGTATCATTAAAATTATCTTTGACACTCTAAAATACAATTCTCATAAACAAATTGAAGGTAAATATTTTTCTTAAAACGTTTGAAGAAATATGAAGAAAAATTTCGGGGCCCCGAGGTGCATGAAGACCCGTTAGACCCGACCCGAATATGAGTCATATTTGGTTTTAGCTACTGGTGTAATTTATTTACGAAATATGGTAGAAGGAATAATAATTTGGGTCTGTGTTAGAAACCCTAAACAATCGCCACTGGTTAAGGAGTGCAAGCCTGTGTGACAGCACAGGTATTCATAATTTCGTATCATTCTCTTCTGTCTTTACCTTTTCTGTTTTTCACTTCATTTCATTTAATCTTGTTCTGTTTAATCTTATAATAATAATAATAACAATAATAATAACAACAATTCAGAATTTGAGTTTTTCAGACCTGATTTTGCCTCTGCCTCGTAGTCAGGGTACCGCTAGCACCTTAATTACGCATAGATTTTAATGTGTGGCTTTTCTGTACGATTCTAATGACCCTCAATTACACATGTATTGTTAAGATGTCTCGCGTTGATTAGGATTATCATTAAAATGTCAATATAAGGTTCAGGCAATCCTCCTCCTACGAGTTGAGTTCTGGTCAATTTTTTACAGGGTAAATTACATCTGCATTTCTTGAGGTTTAATAAAATTTCACTTTGATACCTCTCTGTTTTTTACCCCTATACAAATTTCATCAAAGACTTCGGTTGGGTTGTTACTGAGATCAATGGCATGTGTGATCTATATAGTTGACTTGATTTAGATAAGACTTGCTTCTTGTTGTCGAATACAAACTCCAATTTATATAACAATATAACACTATATACCCTTCTTGATAATGCTAACCCTCCAGATTTTGTATGCAGTTATATGAATCAGGAGAGGTCAAAGTAATCTAGAAAAGGGGGGACAGGGGTATTTGGTGAAATTTCGTTTAACTTCAAGGGGCTGTGAATGATTGAATGTAATTTACCCTTTTAACATGTATCTGCATACTGACTCAATTGTTGCTTCTTTTCTGTGAGCCAAAAGTTTGTGTTTTGGTTAAGCCTTAAGTTGGTGATGGAATTGAGTTGTTGTATGAAGCAGGTTTAAGGGGGAGGAGAACTACCTATATATGTGCTGCAGGTTCTTAATTCTTGCAGGTTTTGTTTTTTACTTTATTTTTCTGATTTATTAAGAAATTTGAAAAGACTCAAGCAAATCCAATTAAGGAGTTTTGATTGAGTTGGACATGTATTGTTTTTGTAAACTCAAACCAGCTAGACCCAGGCCCATGCTGTTGTGCCATGTGGATTAACACAACACTCATAGTTGGGTTAAGAGCATCTTTAGCAGCGATATTCAATGGAGTGCTTAAGTGATTTATATAAGTGGACTTGCACATTGATAAGAAATTGATTACAGCAAATTAGCCTGTTCTGGGGGTACAATTGGCTAAGATACAGTTCCTTAAGTTTAAGCTGCTGCCTTTATGATATAGTTTTCGGCTTCCCATCATAAGTCATAAATTGTCTCATGGTTAGTACTGTTTTAGTTTTAAAGATTATTATGGCATTTGATCTTGGTAATTTAACCTGAAGCAATATTTCAAGCTCTAGGCAATCAGCAAGCCTCCATTTGTTTTGTATCATTACTTTATGTGTTTCCACTCAAACTTGGGCTACTGTTTGTTTTTCAAGTGTATAGGGTGCTGTTGTATTGCTTGCATTTGATTTGTGGAAGATTCTTATGATTTGGCTGAGATGACTGCATTCTGAACAATGATGTTGATGCTGTATTATTATGAAGCCTTGTTGTCATGGCAATTCAGTTTGTTGATTTGTACATCCAGGTCTAGGCTATCTGCTTGGTTGGACTTCGCTTTTGGATAGTGGATAGTTTCATTTCATGTCTGAATCAGACGCACAGCTTCCTACTGCCTTTGGTATGTTGTAAGTTGTAACTTCATGATAAGTGTTCACAGATTGTCTTGTTCATGATATACATTTATTCAAGTGGAGACAGATGATTGGACACATGCATACACATATTTGGACTTCCCCCTGCTTGACAGGCTTTTGAATCTTCTGTAGCCTTGTTTATATGGGTACCAATGGTCATTCAAGTTTGATTTTTCTTTCTTTCTTTTATGTGCATGTTCTGCTCTTCTTTTGTATCAGTAAAATTAATCTTAATGGTTTGGATTTGGGATTGAAAACTGTTCTACTCATTGAAAATTTTGATTTTCCCATGTCAAGCTCTGAATCAACTAATAATTTCTTCTGATAAATTAAACTCTATTTATCTTTACAAACATGGATAAAATTGCTGAAGAATAAATCTGCATTTTGCATATCTTTGTTTTTCAGATTAAATGTGGTTATACTAATTCTGATGTTTGCTTTCCTTTGTCTCTGTTGTAGTTGCTGATGTTCTATTGTGGAGGAGGTGGCATGTTTCCTTGGGTGTCATTGTTGTTGCTACAATTGCCTGGATCCTATTTGAGTGGACTGGTTTACCATTTTTAACAATTTGTTCAGATGTCTTGCTGATTTTGATCGTACTATTGTTTCTGAATGCAAACTTTGCTGCCCTAAGGAATAAGTATGACTAATAGCCCTAGTTGTGCTCGTTTTATGTTTTTCATCATTTTTAACATTAACAGTATCATTGGTATCTTTTTCTTTTCAAGCAGACAACCACCAACTCTACCTGAGCTAGTTGTGTCAGAGGAGATGGTTAATAATGTAGCAGCTTCATTTCGTGTGAAAATGAATAACGTGCTCCTTATGGCTCATGATATCACTATTGGCAAGGATTTTAGAGTTTTTTTCAAGGTTAGTTTTGGTTCAGGTCACACCCTTTTAGGAATTGTGGCTTGGGGATCAGAAGGGTGATCTAAATAATTAGTATTTCTTTTATAGATATATTTTTGTTGTAAAGAAAGTTAGGCTGAGTATGATATTGTCTAGAAGAATGTCCTAGTAAAATTTAACTAGGATGACATATAATTTGGGATGGGCTTATGAAAAAAACTTGTGCTATTAGTACCTTCATTGAACCTACTTCAAATGTATCTATTGTTTTCAACAATATCTGAGAGCATCTTCTGCTATGTCAGCAATTTTATGGTATTCTATTTAGGTTTTTATTTTACTATAGCAATGCAATCATTGTATTTAGAAATGGGATCGTAGTAATTCTCAATATTGTGTATATGACTTGATGGAAGATGAAGATATAATTCAGTGTCTGTTTTCTGTTGTCTTCTTGACAGGTGGTGGTTTGTCTGTGGCTCTTCTCTGTCATTGGCAGTGTCATCTCCTTCTTCACACTTGCATATATTGGTATGCGTGCTTCATAAGTCTATACATTAAGAGCAATTTATGATGGCTTTAACTGAGACCCTCCTTTCTCATTAATTTATAGTAAATTCTGTACCAGTTACTACATCATTTTTACGTGTTTCACTTTAACCTTTTGGCTTTCCTTTCACTGCCTTTGTCTATTGCTTGGTTTTTGGTGGGCAGTGTTAGCGGTTACTTATGTCCAGCACTATGCAACATAATGCTTCTCAAGTTTTCATTGCATTTTTCATGTTTTCCATTAATCAGATTGGATATTTTCATTGAAATCTCCATCTATTATGTTTTTATGCTGTGAAGGGTCATTTTGACAGCCTCTTTTTCTTGAACACTACATGCAAATCTTGCATGTCTCAACACAAATTGGGGATATAATCATATAAATATATAAACTTCTGACCCTTTGTAAATTTTTTTATTTACATTTCTTCCTCTTTGATGATGACAGGAACCCTCATGATGATTACTATCCCTGCGTTGTACAGCAAATATGGAGATAATGTAGATAAATGGTGTGGAGCTATACACCACCAATTTTCAAAACATTATAGAATCGTAGATGAAAATGTTTTCAACAGGCTGCCCCGTAATATATCAAAGGACAAAGAGTCTTGATTTTCATGGTCTTCCAATTCATGTTCCTTTTATGAAAACTAATTCCATTTTGTTGATGATTGCGTTGTTTAGAATCTTGTCACCACCTTGTCTCATATGTGAAGGGGGCACTTTTGTAGTTTAGATGTTGCTCAAGTCAACTGCATGGAAGCTATCTTCATATTCCGAATGACATAGTTTGAGGATGTTGAAGGTAGCATTTATAAATCATTTGCTAAAATATGTTGAAAAATGTATACCCCACCACCGATAACACCCTCAGGTGAACAAGTGTCCGAAGTAAATATTTGAATATATATTGTCATTATTGTTGATGAAGCTATTTGGGATGTTAGTGAACTCTATTGTTACTTGATATACTGGTTGATAGAAATTCTCTGTTGTCCTTGGCAGGGGGCACTAGTCTGGAATAAGTAGTTTGTTACAATGTATAATTTTCATTATTTTGATTTTACACGTGTTTTAAAAAGATTAAAACTAAAATTAGTTCAACTGAGTTAGAAATTAATTTATGTACTCCAAATATTTCATTTATAGTTTTGCTTTAGTGTACAATGTGTACATAGATACCATCAATCAAACAATTACCAGAAGATTTATCTAATAATCAATTTGGTACGTCCTTAAAAGTTGGGGGGTTAAATTCTCAATGGATAATGATTTTATATGTATTTCGGGTCAGATTGAGAAAAGGTCAAACTAAAAATTCAAATTTTTAATCTTTAATTGGGTTGAACGTACCATATAAGTGCCGCAACCAGCAACATACGAGATTTCATGCATGCATAGTGAGATATCCTAAAGCCACAAATGGCTCACTTCTTAATTAGGTTAGATATACCCTCTATGGTCTATTTAAACGGGGTGTTCACGAAACGAATTAGATTCGATGGCAAAATTATCTAATTCAATTAAAATATAACTTATATAACAGATTAAGTTGAGTTTGACATGTGACCTGAATCAACCTAACCTAATCATGAATGGGTTGGTTTGGGGTTAGGTCATTAAATTTATGCTTTAAAAAAATTATAAAATTAACTAATTATTAAATTAAAATTTAAAAAATCTATCAATGTTTATATAGAAATTATTGATTTATACTCAAATAATAAATTATTAAATAATACGTTTAAAAATATATATCAAAATAATAAAATATAAATATTATATAATTTAATTTTTTTATATATAGGATTGAGTTCATTGAGTTATAAAAAAAATTAGATCCAATACTTGACTCAATCTTGATCAGGTAAATAATGTTAAAACTCAATTATACATAATTATTAAATTAAAAATATATCAATATTTATATAAAAATATTAATTTATAAATAATAATTATTTATAAAAATCATATTTAAAATATATATATATATATATATATATATATGTATGTATATATATAATAATGACTTGAACATTGTATAATATGTAACTCAAAACTGATCTCAATTTTTTCAAAGGTTGAGAATAAATGACCAATGTGACTGCAGAGCTACTGTCACATGGTAAGAACGTTGCATTTGTAAGTTATTGAATCTTCAATCCTCATTACTCCATCTAAAGCCAAAAGGGGCAAGAGATATTGTGCACCCATGACATGAATCATATGCTTCTAATAAATTTGGTTCTCCCAAGTGGGAGGTTCTAATAGGGAAGCTCACATGCTAGAACATGGAGCCCCGTAATTGGTGTGAAAATATTTATTCACATACCCTTTGATTTAGTCCCTCTTTCCATATGCTTTACCTTACAAATTTAATAGAACGCACCAAAACACATTCAATGTGTGTGGTATAGTAAAAATAACTAGGTTCACTTGCCTATGTCAAAATAGTAAAATATGCATGAACCATGATAACATAAACCTCTCCTTATTTGAATTTGCTACTATGATTGAAGGATGCAAATAGGGCATTACCAAAAGTGCTAGTTACCACCATTATTTCTTATTATGAGTGGTTGCATGTACGGTTGCAACTTGCACACGCCCTTACTAATTACTATCACTGTGAATCAGGTGATCCCCTAATTCATATGTTGGAACTCAGCATCAATTTAAAGGTGAAGCCCATTGTGTGATCTCCATCAATGTTACTGACCCATGGTTTGTTGGAAGACAATATAATGGTTATTATAAATGCATGACTCACATTTTTCTTTGATAAGTAAAAGATGGAGTCACATTAGCCATCACTTGCCTCATCTTCTTTAGTCAACTATAGAATTGTGAAATATTCTAATGAATTTTTTTTTTCTCTTTGGATCTCCTGTTACATAAAAGGTTTTCTATTTGGAAGTCTTTATAAATATTTATGAAAATAGTTTATGATTTTTATAATTTTTTAACTTGTATCATCAAAATAAGTTATTTTTAGCTTATTTTAATATGTTTTGTGGTTAAATTAAGATTTTATTTAAAAAGAAATTACTAAACAAACACTTAATTAAATTATGTATCCAAATGCACTCTTGTTCAAATTCAAAATTAAAATGATTCATTTTTATTTTATTCCTTTCTAGCAAGATATATAGGTAGGTATATTAGAGAAATGATTTTTTACTGTTTTTGTACAAGAGTTTGTGAAAAAAAAAAAAAGGACAAAAATATGTAATAATATGATTCAAGGGATGGAAAAAATAAAGAAAAAAAGTACTTTAAAATAGTGTTACACAAATAATTCAACTAGGTATAATAATGCTTTTCAAAAACTTTTTCTAAAATTAACTACTATAATTATGTTATAATTATGAAAGTTTTTATTTAAAAAATATTAACCTTAGCTTAAAGTTAAAGATAAGCAACTAATAATGAAAATAATAATTTATTAAAAATATTTATTATATTTTTATAATTTTAATATAAAAAATATATATTTTTATAATGTGAAAACTTAAAATTAGTCTATTACAAATTTCTTTTATTAATTGCACCACATTATCAATCTTATTAACATCTTTTATTAATTGCACCACATTATCAATCTTATTGTTAATGTTGTTTCATCACTGATCTAAATAATTGTAATTATTCTTATTCATTTTTATAAAGTAAAATTTAAATTGTCTTTTATTTTTTTATATATATAAAAATTTAAGTTTTATTAATAATATCTTTAAGTCACTAGTTAAAGAATTAAATATAAATTAAATTATGAAAAGAAGTTTATTATTAATAATAAATTTTTAAAAAATTTATTGTTATTTATTTATTAACTAAAGTACTGGTTAGCATTGTCTTAAAAGTTTTAACAATGAATTTGAAAGAGGCATGTCCATCTCTAACATTGAGTAAATCTGAAGAAAAACTTTTAAAAGTTAACATTTTATCTATATTTCTTACTTTTTTTTTATACACAAAATATTAGGCTAGTAGGTTTCGTGAGTCAGTCATGTCTTAGTTTTCTAATTATTTAAGTAATTTAGTCTTTTTTTTATTGATTATCAATAATTAATCATTAATTATATTATTTTAACATGATTAAAGAATTGTTCATTTTGAATTTAAGCCGAAAGAGTGTAAGTATCTTTCTACTTAAGATTAAGTTGAATGAGTATTCAATTTTCTTTTTCTACAATGATGATCGAAGTGTCTATAAATCACTTTTTTCAAAATTGCTTTAAAATTATAGAAAACATTAACATTAAAGGGAATGGATTCAAGACAAACACAAAGTAGTCATCCATTGAGGACACATGTGCTTATAAAAAGGATTTGAGATGAGCTTAATTTAATTCTTTGAAATTCAATATGATATAGGATCAACTCAATTTTATTTTGTAGACATAATATATAAATTTCAATATTATATATAATCAAACTATAGAATTAAATAAATATAAATTTTAAATTGAGATATATTTAATAATATACATTTTTTAAGAAATGTTTTTAATTTAGACATAATATGATAATATTAAAATATTATCTAAATTAAGGAATAATATTATTAATACATGAATTAAAAAAAGTATGAAACATTATGGTAAGTTTCAGAGTGTATATATTTCATTTAAAAATTTTTTTGTCATTTTTTATGTAATTTTTATTTAAAATATTATATTTTATATGAATAAAAGTATTTTTAAAATTATTTATTTTCATTAAATTACATGATTTCTTTATATTTAATATTTAAATAATTATTTATTCTTTAAAATACTTTTAAAATTTAAATTTGTATATACCACGTTAATAAAAAAAATATATCTTAATTTTAATAATTTATTTTTTAATTTCATGTTTTATCTTGTTATCTTATAATTTTTAATATAATAAAATATTTATTATTATTAATAAAAAGTTTTACTACTACATCGACTAACGTGCTTTGCTCAGTTCTGCCACATCTCATTTATTATTCCTTTATTTCGCCAAATCCAAATCCTTCTATGCACCGTTACGTTTTGTTTTGTTTTGTTTTTATTGTTTTTTAATAATTTAATATCTCTAAATAAATAATATTATTTGTATACTTTTTTTTAGTCAATACAAATAACTTAGATTAAATATACGTGATTTGATTTAAATAAAAAAACACTTAGATTTAAAAAATTCTCTAGCAAATTTTGAAAAGAATATTTATCTAAATAAGTTAAATTAACTAGAGTTCTAAAATATGTGATTCATTAACATGATTAGAATTGAAGAATTTTATATGAAAATATATAAAAATGATAATTTTCATTAGCATAATTGTTTTATTTAAAACTATCTCAAAATATTATAGCAAATTAAATGTTAAATATATCAATATTCAAGTGGTGAAAATGGAAATGTTCCTCACCCCAATAAATGTGACTTGTCATTCAAGTCTCCTTAATGTTCCAACTTTTCTATAAAAAGGAAAATATAGTAATCACCATTTTCCAAGTGTTTAATAATAATAACATTGAGTAACAATATAAGAAGGCATGGCAGATAGAACCATCAATACTATTTACCCATCTACACCATTTATTATTCAACCATAAAACTACCAAGGTATGTAACCTCCCTTTTATTTGTTCTCCACTTGATATTTTTTAAATTTTTAAAATGATCATTTTAGTACAAGATTTATTTTTAAAAAATATTTTTTCTAATAATTTATAATCTATATTTTTATATCTTGAATATAATAAGGATTTTACAAAAAAAAAAATTATACACTTAAAATGAAATGTAAAAGTTAAAAATTAATTTTTTTTTAATAGCATTAGTTTGTCACTATTTGTAAGAGGAGTATTAAAAATATGGGTTAAAAGTGTTAAATTTAAAATATGTTTTACCAATATTTAATTTTTGTATAAATTTTAAATAATAACAAAAAATATATTTTAAATTGCAAAAAGTAAGCAAATAACTTGAAATTGAGAAAGAGGCGAACTAAATCCGTATTGTGGACCGTACGATTACATCTTGAAGTGCATTGCAATTTGCATCACCAACTTAAAATAAAAGTAATAAATTCTGACACAATCGTGTCACATGGATGATCTCGATATCACACGAAGCAATCTATAAGTGCTCACACTAAATAATGTCAAAACTTGTTGCTAAATGTTCGAGGTGGGATTCCCTTTCACACCCATCAGTTTTTCTTCTATAAATGACCCCACACTCTCTTTATGACACCACTTTCTTCTCTTCGCCTCTCTAGTTCTTTTTGGTGCTTTAATTAACGCTACTATAGTAATTTTTGTCACATTCATAGCTGAGGGCTTTGTATCTTCTTTCAACAATGGCCGTGGCTAGGCTACTTGTGGTGTTCATCTTGTCCCTCATTGCCATTTCCATGCTTCAAACACTGGTTGGTCTTTTCAGTAGAAAAACACCCCCAAACACACACACTTCTAAAGTTCACATTTTTAAACTTGTTCTTAATTTGTGAGAATTTGAAAGGTTGTCACATTTTTTCGGCTTGATTTTGTAGGTTATGGCATCTCATGGGCATGGAGGCCACCACTACGATGACAAGGTAAAACCTAACCTCTCCTTAGTTCTTTCTTCCCTCTCTCTCTCTCTCTCTCCTTATGGGGGTGTTAGACCAAAGAATCAAAATGGGGTTTTGAAAACTTCGCTTTAAGGGTGAATGCCATGCATTTTGCTAATATTTGTTGCATATTTGTGTTCAACAGAAAAAATTTGGACCCGGAAGCCTCAAGAGCAACCGTGAGTGATTCATACCACTTTTGTTCTTTTTGTTGTTCTTTTCTTCTCCTTGTCATTTATGGTAAAACAACTTGGAGATACATCCAACTGAAAAAATGATACCAATGCAAAGAAACAAACAATATTTCACACACCAACACAAACAGCATATGCTGGGTTTTTCATCTTGGAAATCTTAACATCTATTAGAATTCATAAAATTACAAAGGATCGATCTTGCTGACTAATAATAGTTAAGGAATTAATAAATAGTTTTACAATATACTAAAAATTACAGCTGATGTATAACATTACAAAAGTTTCATAATTTTTAATTAATGTCTTAAGTGTGTTTTTAATAGGTGTTTAGCTGAAAAACGGTAGTCGATACAAATAACAAAACACGATCCAGTGTAAAATCACGAGGTGAGTGTTTTGCTCCATCTTTTACACATTTTCTTAAAAAATGTTTTAGTTTATAAAATAAGTATTAAATAAAATTGTTTATTATTTAATTCAATAATTTATAAGATTTATAAACACAATATAGAGTGATTTAAAGTTATTCCTTGAAATAATTTTTTAAAAAATAAATAAAAATCAATATGTATCTCCACAATCACAATCAATTTAACGATGAAGTATTATCAGCACGAATTACTATACATATTTAATGCTATGAGGAGCGATGAACCAAAAATTAATCATAAACTTTGCATTATTAACACTTTTCCTTAATGAAAATTGTTAAATAGAAAATGGACATAAACAATTTTATAAATTTCCATTAGTAAATATTTCTCTCGCATTATGACCATGGCCTTTCTACTTCAAGACTCCTTTCACTTTGACAGTGGTCAAAATTGGTATCGTAAAAGCTGCATATATTAATTAGAGTCTTTGACTTTTAACTTTCTTGAAATTTCTCTTATGGGGAATGTGATATGACCAGAATGCCCTTCACAATGCTCGAGGAGGTGCAGCAAGACCCAGTACCACAAGCCTTGCATGTTTTTCTGTCAGAAGTGTTGTAGGAAATGCTTGTGTGTTCCTCCGGGGTATTATGGGAACAAAGCTGTGTGCCCTTGCTACAACAATTGGAAGACCAAGAGAGGAGGTCCTAAGTGCCCTTAAGCTTCTTATTAATCAAATTAACATTGATATTATATACATTCTCATATAATATAATCTTCCTTGTTTCCTTCTATGTTTTAATTAACCAAATACTTACCCTTTTTCGTACCCATTAATATATGAGAAAGGTTAGCCTGGAGTTAGTGCGTGGGCTCCTCAGCATGCCACTCCTCTGCCCCTTTATTGCCTTTAAATGGTGTCTAATTAATACTATTGCTGTCATATATATATATAGAACTTCGCTATCATCTTTTTTTCTTTGTTGTATGAACAATGCAAAGGATGTTATTTTTGACACGTTGTTGACATGTTCCTTTTACATGCATGGCATTGTCATAACCACACCTTCACTTGTAATTGAAAATATTAACAAGTAAAAGGATTGACAAGTATAATAAAAAGTAATTTTTTTTATTTATTGACAAATGTATTTATAATAACCTTTCGATATCCGATTTTAAATGTAAACAAAGGAAGGTACTGTGTGTTAAATTAGTTTTTCGCTTACACACACTCCAATACATGTAATTGAAAAATTTGTCTCATTAGTATTTTTATATCATGGTTAATTGTAAAACCCATTCCAATTTTTTCACTCTCCAAATTTTGAAAAGCTACAAATGGGAGGCGGTTTTTTCATTTTTATTTTATTTGCAATGTTTCTTATAGAAACAAAAATGGTTGTAAAACGTAGACAAAGCTCTTTTCAATGTATTGATGTAAGAAATCGGCTAAACACAAGGGTTAAAAATTTAGTCTACCATATAAAAAACATTATACTAAGAAAAGCAAGGCTTTTTTATTTAAAATAAGCAAAAAAATTAGTAAAAATTCAAAAAAATTTAAATATATCATAAATGAGCTTAAGAGTAATGCTAGCAACATGTTCTTTGTAACATACTTCCTGCTAACAGTTAAAATTTATTAAAAATTCTAAAAATTGTGTTAGTCTTGTTTTTTTTATTCTTAAATTAATATTTATTTTTCATACTTTTTTTATTTTTAATAAATGTTAACCAATAATAAAGAATGTGTTATTAGCCTTTTCTCATATAAAGTTTGAGCTGAGTCACACCAAACTTGAGCAATTTGCATAGTAGCACACTTTGTGCTAACATTAAGTACAATCAACTCAACTACAAGTCACCAAGTCTAGTGTGTCTTATGCTTAGTACATAAGTTGTTAGAGATGTGACTTATAATTTAGCATAGGTGGTGGTGTATGATTGTTGAAAAGAATAATATAAGTCATTCTAATCTAGTGTGACTTATAATATAACTTAAATTGTCTAAACCTTATGCATTTTATTTGCATAGTTATATAATTATTCATTTAGTCCTTGTGGGTTCAATGATGAACAATCAATCTACATTATTGTTTGTCTAAATATAAATGTGTTTAACATATTTCAGCAATTAGACCGAGCAAATAATAGACAAATTAAGCAGATGTTGTATAGGTTGCTTATAACTAATCAAGTATACAAGTTATTCAATCTACAATATAACGATGTAAATATGATTTTTAATTTTTACTCAATTTCTAGAAATTCACATTATATAAATATTCATGCTATGTAAAAAAGTCAATTTAGTTATAGGGTTCTATTATTGTTGAATTGATTGTTGGAGCATCCTGCTCTTTAAATGATTGTAAACAACCAAGAGAAAAATGTTTTTGATGTTGTGGCAAGCCTAAGTTTTGCAGAGCTTCTACAACTTTTTTACGTTGACTTTATTAATAGTTTTGATTTGTCAAATTTTGTTAAGCACAAATAAGATGTTGACAAAGAGGAATTTTGTGGGCTTATACACAATGCGATGATGAAGGGCTGAGAGAGAACCATCACGTCACAATCTTAGTCAAACATAACTGTTATGTCATAATCTTTGTTTAAGTCATAATGTCAATGACAATCTAATTACTATTTAATATTGAATTTGGATGCAATGAATTTGAATAGTATTGATTGATTGTTATGCAAAGTTAACAAAGGTACTTGAAGTTTTTCTCTAGATGGACAAATAGAGCTCGAAGTGTGACAATTGTTTAGAGACAATGAAAACGTGTTACTCGCAATAAAGAATTACAATATTGAAAGATCAATTGAGTATTAAGTTTATGAGTTGGATCATCTATGCATCCATTAATAGATGGTCTGTCTACTCGCAACCGATTGCCACTTCTTCAAGTCTAATTATGTACTCCCAAAATGAGAAATAAAATGTGTATGTTTCTGTTCATCATTGCTCGACAAATACACTAATAAATGCCTTGTTGTCATAGCATTTGATCTATGATAAGTGCGAAAAGTGACCTATTTCAATATAAGGTTACAGCCGTAGATTAGGTAGTTTAATTGCTATTGATTTATGCTTGGTACGAACGCACATAGGCTAAATCAAATAAGCTAACTTAGATTAAACCATTAATCACTATTACATCACACTAAATAACTAATTATAAAAATATAAGGCAAAATAAATTTTTCTAAGTGTTTAGGAACATAAAATGTTACGAGGGATAGGTTCATAAACTTATGAAATACACATGAATGAATGAGAGTTCATGGACGCTCGACCTGTAAGGATGAACCATGTAAGCGTAATAAGTGCTTTATGGGAGACTGAGTTTACTTCCATCTCTCAACATGCCTCATTCTTTTAGGAGGTTATTTAATGTCGCAAGATATAGGCTACGCTGAAGAGCAATTGCTACCTTATTTTTAAGGCATGGAATGCCTCTACTAGAGTAAAGCGTGCCTAAAAGTCCTACAAGCCAAATACTGGCCATGAGTTCCTGTTTAGTAGAGAGTTCTTTCATTTTTGCCTAAACATCATTCCTTCACTCAAACGTGCCAAGGAGTGCTCATTTGAATATGCTCCTTTATGCTTTGTAATGAATCCATATTTTGTTAATATTTTACCTATCTTTTTTCATAGAATTTTAATGGAAAAATGAAGTTAGAAATTGTAAATACCATAAAAACCTCAATTATGCCAATTATTTTAGCTTTTTTGTTTTTGGTTCAATTTACATTAATTTTTATAATTATCTTTTGCAATTTTACTCACTAGAATAATTGTGCAAGAAGTTATGGACAAAATCTATGAGAGTTGATCTTGAGAAGAAATTGGGTGAAAGTAACTATTTCCAGTACTCAAAGTAATCATTATAGTAAACTATCCCCAAGAGTCAAGTGAAAATAACTACTTCCCATAGTGAAAGTAGTTACTATAGAGTCAGATATAAAAGACGAAGCTGCACGTTTTCACTATCACCGATGATAGTGAACACTAGAAAGAACATTTCCTGAAGAGAGGCTATACATAATCACTTTCACTACTCATAGTGATTACACACAAGCTTGTTTGACCCAGCGAAGCTGTGCGTGTTTACTTTCGCTACGCGCGCTGTGTGTAATCTCTTTCATTAGTGAAAGTGAACACTACATAGAAGAGAAAATTTAATGGGCTACGCATAAATACTATCAATAGTCAAAGTGATCACTTCAAAGAGTGTTATTTTTACTATAAATAGGATTTTCACTTTTAGGATAAGGATCTTTTAAATTTATTTGGTTAAGCCAAGTATGTTTGTAAAAATATCTCAAATTATGGGTCTTATATTTTATTTTTGCAAGTTCAAATAAAACTTTTTAAAGTTTTTTTTTTCTCAATTCTCTAAAATTACTATTTGAAACAAATCGTATAATCTAATTTTTCAATTCTAAACTAAACAGTCAAAAAAAAAAGTTAAAGATATGTGTACTTTTATGTGTGAACTAAGCTAATATATACATATATAAAAGTCCAATGATTCAAAGATGATAACAAACTTTAACATTGTCTAACGGAGGTTAGTCTGAGTGATAAGTGATTCAGTATTGCTTAAATAAAGTATTGAGTATGAATGTTTGTATATGCAAAAAAATTTTAACAATAGACTCACCCACCATATTTAAATGTACAACTCAAGTTAGATCCGAATTAAACTAAATAAAAAAAAAGTTTGACATTTTTTTTTGAAAAGAAAAAAAAACTGATTAATCTATTTATGCTTATGCTAACAAATTCTTAAATGTGTGTGTGATCTTTTTTGAAGCAAAAGAAAATAACTAAAATCAAATTCGAGTAAAAATATAAATCTAATTTTTATAGTTAATACTCGTTATGGATTATTTTAATTTTAATTTTTACACGAATATTTATTATGCTTTGATATATTTAAATAATATTAAGAACTAAAACATAATTGATATAAAAATGAAGTAGATCAAAGTTTAATAAAAAAATTTATATAAAAATTAAATATAAATTTTTGAATTATAAAAAATAATTTGTGAATAAATATAAGTTATAGATACTAAATTTATATTTTAACTTAAAATTTATTTAAAAGTTAAAGAACAAATGTATACGATTGATAGGGATGGAAATGAGTTGAATTGCATGTTTATAGCATAACTTACTTTAGAATTAGAGCAACCAAATGATTATTTATCAAACAATTTTTAAATATATAATAAAAATTTATATAAAAAACCACATAATATCATGAGATCAAATGTATTTATAATATCAAATATTATATTTTTAATAAAAATTATTATTTATTTTTACTGTATATATTTGAGGACACGATATATGAAACGTTTATTTATATAGTATGTGTTTGTTAAACTAAATGATTAACTCATTTTATAAAAAAGTTATTTTGATAAATTTTTAGAATTAAATATGTGATTGAAAACATGTTAAAAAATTTATAGATATAGATACAACAAAAAAATTATAACTAATAATATTGAAGTAAATATAAATCTACCTGCATGCTAACGTGAAACTGAACATACTATATTTCTATAACTAAAAATAAATAATAAAAGACAAGCAATATAACAGAAAATAATGAATATATAAAAATATTGCATGTTAGAATAATAATGTTATAAAGTATAAAAATAATATAAAACTATGTCTAGAAAAATTAGATTATA